GGTACAAAGTTTTAATAGGGCTTCAATGGGGAGGACGCTTGAAGAATCTCATTAAGAACCAACAATAGCAATGCAGTAATAATTTGCATCAAGCCTCAGTAGTAACTGTACATTAAAATTCAAGTGTGTACAAATGAAGGTACAGTGATCCGTGGGTCTGAGCACTAGTCCAAAGTTTAACATAGTCTTTATTGGGAAAAGCTTAAAATTCATCTTATTCAGAACCTGCAATGGAAATGCAGGACTTCATAATTTACACAAATCTGTACATGCCAACCATAATTAGAGGCTCCAAGGAGCTTGAATTACTCCCCTATTCAACTGGGTCTCATTTGACTTGATTATAAATAAAGTTCTAGTATGTGCAAGTCTGAGGTGCAAGTGAATAACTTTAATTAAGCTTGATTGCATATAGTGTTCATTATTCTAAAAAAAAAAAAAGATGAATTTGTTTCCGCTACAAACTTTGCCTTTACTGACAACCATTTTGAAATGCCTATCGCATTAAAAAGTGAAAAGTTAAACTATAAGGTTGCCGTTATTATCACATAGCGGTCAGTGGTTGTCATTTGTTGCTGTGTTACATATTCGTTTTTCGGTCTTTGTTTGTACATCATTAAAACCGTTATTTTCACTCGTTTGATTAAATTATTAAACAGCTGTCATGTCGGGGACTCTCCCTCAGGTATCTTTCGTCCCTCTTTTATAGCTGACTATGCGGGGGCTTTTCTCATTATTGAGGGCATTATGATGACCTATAGTTGTTAATTTTTGTGTCATTAAGTCTCTTGGCAATCATAATACATATTCTCATATATATATAGCGATGTCGTTACTACGACATAGTGATGTCGTAATAACGACATGTTATGTCGAAATTACGACATAGCAATGTCGTTATAACGACATGTTATGTCGAAATTACGACATGCTATGTCGTAATTACCACATATTTTTTTTTTTTTTTTAATGGCCCTTATCGGCTTCCGTAGAATCTAATCCTTAGTGGCTTATTTTTAGTCACGCGGAATGGAGGTCGGGGAATTTTTTCTCTGTAATTTTTTCATTTTAGGGTTATAATCCAAAAAAAAATGAAATTTGAATTATCTGAATGGGAAATGGTCATTATTTGACCCTAGCCGTATTGATTTTAAAGAAAACGAAGAAGTTTGAGTGGATTACAGAGGAAGAGTTCTCCTACCTCCATTTTCAGTTCCCCGCGCAGAAGAAGTAGCAGAAAATAGTATTTTTGATTTAGCCAAAAAAGTTATGATAGATACTCTAGGATAAACAATTTTGTAGAGAACTCTGTAGGTTCCCTATTTAAGGAAATTGCTCGTTCACCTCAAACAGCTAAGAGAGTATTTGACGAAGTGGGTGACACAACCAAATTGCCTTCATCATTTCTCTAACTTCTCATTTTTTCAAGTGTTATTTGTATGAAAAAAGTTTTCAGTGTATTTGTATTTAACGTTTACCGAATATTTGTATATATATGAATAAATTTGTATTTGTTAATATTGTATTTATTTACTTACTGATAACAATAAATGTGGAGTAATTGGCAATGAGACAATTATCAGACAATACGGCATATAATGATTACCAGTTTACGAAGAAAACGACTATAAATTTCATGGTTTTGTCTTTCACATATATTAAAAGAATTAGTCTTGGTTAGTTTGGGTTTTTTTGTTTTTGTGAGTTTTGGGATTAATAGTTGATAAGGTATGATGGACGGGTAGGGGTTTGCTTCAATGGTAACAATCTTGAGAGTAAGGATATGCGAACTGAAATTTCACGCTCCAATACTAAAAGCATCTAGTTACTTGGAGTGTGGTGTTACTTAGGATAGCCCTATATCCTAAGCGACATCTCACGAGAAGTCACGAGACCTTTAGATTTAAATCATATTTCGAGATGCAGTCGATCTAAGGATGGAGGTTGAATCTTCCTCTCTTTGAGATAGCATTTGTTTGTTGGTTTAGTGAACTTCATGTTCGTTAGAATAAGAACTCTCGACTACTATTTTGTTTTCCCCCGTCCCGCCCTCCCTCGTTGTCTGTGTTTTATCACACTCCAAGAATTGGATGCTCTCTAAAATTTCACGCTCCAATACTAAAAGCATCTAGTTACTTGGAGTGTGGTGTCACTTAGGATAGCCCTATAACCTTATCTTCGATAAGTTATGCCCAAAGTTTAAATATATGCAACTTAATTTCTAATGGCAATTAAGAATAAGACGAAGAGACTTTTTTTAATATATTTCTACCTTCGGCTGTTTTCTGCTCTTTGGCAAGGTTGTTTTCTCTTTGACACATTTCCCGTTTCCATTCTCAATTTTATTTCGATTTTTGATTAATGTTATATTTAGATATTGTTCAATTAATTAATCAACCAATTGTTATTCTTAGTACAAGTGTTATAAACAGGTGTCTATTTTTTATTCTTAGATTCTATGTTATTTTGTGTATTTAGTTGACTATAAATATACAAAACTTAATTCTTAGCTTTGGCTTTGAAAGAATCCGAAGTAAATTTAGCATCCTAGTTGAACAGAAGAAATGCCCAATAAATTTTGGGAAACACAGAATATTAACAAAAATATAAACAATGAATCGATATCTATAATACTAAAATAATGAGTCCCAATTTGTTAGCCGGCATGACGTTAAAACGACGAATTAAAGAATTCAACTTCATATATAAATAATATATGACAATGGGGTTGATTAAAAATTTCACCATTCCAGGCCCTTTTGTTTTCCCGATAATTAATATTACCAAAAATTAACAAGTTCCGTGTCGAATCCGATACCGATACCAATTATATATGTAACATTGAGTTTCCGGTATGTTTGTATGTTCGGTATCTCCCTCCCTTGATAAGAGCACCACCATGAGGTATGGTGTAAATAAGGACACTTAACACACTGTATCGGTACAGCTTTAATGTGAGCATTTGCATACCCATTTTCACAGCCTGGCCGTGACGGGTCTTACTGCTAGAAAGATAACATTCCCTAAAAACAATAAGTACAATGCAATAAAACATACGAACACATACACTCACCTGATTCACTCGTCCTCAAAATATAAAAAATGCAAAATATAAATATAAAAGAAATTATATACAAAATAAGGGATAAGGTCACCCCTGAAACTAAAAAAATACCATAGCAACGAACGGGAAACCTATAAGGTCATACTTGGATTCCAGTTGTACATGTTGTAGTAAGAAAACCAGGACGGGTTCAAGCAGAAAGATTTTGAAAGCAGAGAAAACTGTGCACCTTATAATCGGTATGACTTTATCAGATGACAATACGAATACTAAAAGTATTTTAATTCAGTCACGGACCCGCGATGTCGCGGTGTGTTCTAGTAGTATATATAACTCGCAAAAGTTAAATATGAATGTTTATGTTCGCGGACTTTGGTAACTATTATCTACATAATGAGGATGGTTTATCAATACATATATGCACAATCAGTCTTTAATGAGTACCACATAGATAACACAAACTTTATTTTATCTGTGTCTCACGCACCATAAACAAATCTCTTAAATTGCAAAATCATTTCCATTTTTAAATCATGATCCAATATATTCACTCGTTCATTTTAATGCCCTGTAGGTTGCACATGCATACAATTAGAGTAAAAGACCTTATTTGTTCTTAAAAGTTTTTTGTAACCCATTGTGTCCCTATGATAAAAAAAAAGATTAAATTAACTGTATTGTGTACAGAGGTAGATCACAAAAAAGATATTGAGTAAAAGATGTTTTCTGGCAGAAAGACAGACAACAGTTGATGTTTTTAGGTCTTCATTTAATATACATTGTACATTTCTAACATGTAAACAGATTTATGTATCTCTTTTGCATTTATTGTTTATTTCCTCAGTATATGTGTACCTTTGTATTATTTTAAAACTTCAACAGAAAAGACAATTGAATGTGTTGTAGACCCTTTGCAGGATATCAAGCCATGTATTGAACATAAAGTTGTGGCAACCAATGACAAATGTTTGGTCCATCAATCTCTGATCAAGATCTTCAGTTCATTGTAGTCTTTGAAGATGCAAAGAGAAGAGAATAGTAAATGAAGAAGACAGTGAGAGGGATTTACTGTTCTGAAGCAGCACGTGATAGAACAAGTTGTAGATTCATGTTATAATCAATATGAAGAGGAAAACATAAGTTCATTATTATTTAGACAGAGGCTGCATGGAACTGTTATCAATCCTATTTAGCAAAACAACAACATACCTCGATCTCCCTATGTAATGGTATAGCTAGTGTAAAGTCAGCATTGTGTGGAATTTTAAAGAAACTATGTGCTGGTGTAGTTGACGGTGACAACTCAGCACATAAAGTGTATTTGAAAGGACACCCTGCTACATTATTTTGTAGAGCAGTTTGGTGATGGACATCTGATGTCACCTCATGGCAGGCAGTCAAGAGAATGATGGACAGATATAAAATGACAGAAGAGGAAGCGAGTAAAAGGTAAACTCAGTAAATAACTATACCCCATCAAGGATTGCCCATTAAGGGGAGAGCTTTCTACATAACGCTGATCGTGAAGCCCTGTGCTCCACTGATTGGTAGATAATGCTCCTAATAAATATTTTTGATACGGTAGATCAAAACTAGGTTTAAAAAATGAATGTTGACTGCACTTATTTTTTTAGTACAGGGTTGAAAAGTAATGGGGTCAGTATAAGAATAAGGGGCGAATCTACAGTGTTTGAATTGTTCAAAAACGCCGTATGACCCTATGTTTTGATATTATTTCAAAAGTTGGGGATACATTTGTACTTAAATGAATGATACATGAAAGCTTCTGATTTCTAAAGGTAAACCAGATATAAATTTAATGCAAGAACTAGGTTTGCATTGAAGTCAATGGGAAATTATTTACTGAATTCACCCCTAAATATCATCAACATAATTGTAAAAAAGAGAAAATTTGAAAGTAAAATATGCGTCTCACCAGAAGAATGATTATCCACTTCATCGTATGCGTATTCAATTAAATGTCTCTGAAAGAGAAACGGTAAAACTATAGTAAACTGACAATGTTGGAGACAATTCGTATACATGTTTTCATTACAATTACAACACCATACACATTGGTGTCTCAGTTTGATTAAATAACATATCGTATTGAAAGACAAAAACAGTTTCTAAATTCCTTTTGTGATAATGATGGTAGTCTGTTTGACTCTCAGCGGTAAAATAAATGAATATCAGTATTCAGAAACCATAAAACTTAACTTACTGCAATATGAAATTATTGTACAGAATGTCACATTTAGTACTCCCATTATTTGTTAATAACATACCCGGATATTGATAATACGAATAAAGAAAATAAGCATACAATGAGGGATACACAATATGTGTGTCACACTTTTTAAAGTCATATGATTAAACCGCACTTATCTTCATTATAGTTAACTACATTTATTACGAAAAGAATATTTACTGGCTCTTGTTGGGCGGAAGTGTTTTATTTGAACACTTGATTTGTTATAGGGGTTGACACGAAACACATAATCATACATATAAATAAGTCCTGTATTGCTAAACTGATCTTTTTGTTGAAACGGTAAAACTAAAATAAAAAGTAAAATAACAAAAATACCGAACTCCGAGGAAAACTCTAAACGGAAAGTCCCTAAGCAAATGGCAAAATCAAAAGCTCAAACATATCAAACGAATGGATAACAACTGTCATATTTCTGACTTGGTACAGGCATTTTCTTATGTAGAAAATGGTGGATTAAACTTGGTTTTATAGCTAGCTAAACCTCTCACTTGTATGACAGTTGCATAAAATTCCATTATATTGACAAAAATGTGTGAACAAAACAAACAGACACAATAGGTACAAATGTCAAAAATAGAGGTACAGCAGTCAACATTGTGTTACAATCTTAATTACTATAAAACAAACAAATATGTCAACAAAGAAAAACAAAAAGGCATATCAACAAAGCACATTAGCAATACGTTAGACAAGAATACAAAAAAATACCATAGCATAAACTGACAATGTTGGAGACAATTCGTATACATGTTTTCATTACAGTTACAATATAATACAAATTGGTGTCTCAGTTTGATTAAATAATATCGTATTGAAAGACAAAACAGTTTCTAAATTCCTTTTGTGGGTTACTTTTTTTTATTATATTTTATCTTGTCTTCATAATTTCAAACAGATCATTTTTCAAATTTCTAACACCAGTAAACTAAAATGCCAAATCTTTTCAAATTGTATATTAAGAATAATGATTCGGAAGTTAAATTTGTGTTGTTTTATTTTCATTGTATCAGTGGTAGATGCATATGAAATATGAAAGACATAATGTTATTTAACAAAAATCTTAACTTGTTTGAATAATGAACTTTATGAACGAATTTACTTCCCCAGCAGTTGCCTTTCTATTTACTAAACTTCATGCTGCTGAGATAATACAGTATGATTAATTGATGATTTTTAATACCGTTCCTACACTGACAAACTATTTGGAAGTGCTTATTAGACTTGTCTAATAAAGGTTTTAATTATATCAACGGGATAGAAATGTGCTAAAACACACAGAGAAAACAAATTGGAAGTTTGTGTTTGATGTTGGTCAAACAAGCCAAAACAGTTTCAAAATAAACCCAATTTGACTATTATTTTGTTTTGGATTTTTTAAGGTCATGCTATACCCAAACTGACAATGAAGTCAGTAATTTAATGCCGATAGGTATATACTAATCGATATTTTAATCATTGAAAAAAGTTGAAATAGAGCATTTAACAGGCTTCCAGTGAATACTTGAATACTTTACAATGTAGTATTCTTGGGTTTTTCCTTAGTGTCATGTATTTATAAGGCGTGTGTCTGTTTGTGCCGATCTGATGAGTCAATCCCTAATTGTATTAGAGACCTTAATCATCGAGAACGTACCCCCACTTCCCCATTACTCTTGTCCATCGTTTCTTTACAAATATAGTTCCGCTGATCACCTTGACATCGTGAACGGTGAACAACTTGAAGAGTTTTTAGCAGAGGACCAGATATATCGAGTTTATGGCCATTACAAGTATTTATTGATTCTAGTCCATATCTTTATTTTATAACTTAACTGGAAATTATCAACTTTTAAAGTTGTCATTTCGATCACATAAAATTTGTTGAGATACAATGGCTTCCTATGAGATTTCTGTTTTCTTGTCCGATATTGAAATGCTCAGAAGAATTTTATTTGTCCAATATTAAACACAAAATTCCGATTTGTTTTATCTGTGTGTTTCATCACATTTCTATACCGTTGATATAAGTAAAAAGCTTTTATAAGACAAGTTTCATATGCACTCATTCTTCAGCACTTCTACATAGTTCGTCATCGTATGAACGGTATTAAAATCAATAATTACCAAATTAGTTATGCTTTAAATTGTAGCCAACAAAAGACACAAATCAGTGATAAAATTTAACAAGATTTATTATACACAAGTTTACAAGAAGTATTACACAAATTGAAATGTCAACTTAACTGTCAAAATATATGTCCGATCTTTTGTCTTTTCTTTATCCGGAATTCTTCTCGGGAATCTAAACAGAATATTAAGTCCAATAGGTCACAATCTAGTATGATATTGTTCGTAAATAAAAGTGTCAATCCAATTGAGAGAACTTCTGAGAATATCAATATCTATGTCTGAAAGTTTAACTTTAGTGTCTATATATATATATATAGTTGTCACGGAAATCTCTAGAACACTTTGGAAAGGATCCTAGAAAATTGTAGAACGGAAACTTCTAGAACAATGTTAGAAGTTTAAATTACGCATCTTTTATTATGGTCATTCTGGAATCCTTATGTAAGTCAAATAGAAAGTTCTAATCATTCCGTCAGTCTCTATGATTGTTCCAGTGATTTCTAAACTGCACAGTTACAATATCATTTTGTAAACAAGTACAAATATTATGTAAACATATTATAAGGCCACACAAAACAAATTAGGCCAACTAAATAAATATGATAGTTACAATATCATAACAATGCATTTATCTAGATATATAAGCATTGAACTGATATTCGATATTTTGAAATGTCATGTGATAAGTTAAAATACACAGCGCTTGATAAAAAAAATCCCGGAGAACACCTTTTCCCAGACAATTTTGATAAATCACTGATTTTATTATAATGATAATGATGGAAGTCCGTTTGACTCTCAGCGGTAAAATAAAAGAATATCAGTATTCAGAAACCCTGAAATTTAACTTACTGCCATATGAAATTATTGTAAAGAATGTCATATTTAGTAATCCCATGTTTTGTTAATAACATACCCGGATATTGATAATACGAATATCATATGTGTGTCATACTTTTTAAAAGTCATATGATTAAACCGCATTTACCTTTATTATTAGGGTTAAGACGAAACAAATTATAATACATATAAATAAGTCCTGTATCGCTGAATTGATGTTTTTGTTGCAAAATTTTTAACTTAACACCTTTATTTTATGTGGGCAACTGAGAAAATTTCCGGAACGTTAGATTTATATCATCCAGAAATTCAGCAAAATGTTATGGAGTTCTCTATTATTTTTTTTTGTCCAAAAAATTGGGTCATTGTTTCTCAGCTGGACATTTTACCGCTTCATTTGAATATTTTGCATCAAAGAAAAGGTAAGAATCAGTATATATGCAAACATTTCTAGCCGTCAGTAAAATTAGGTCTCAGTGGACCAGTGTAATAACCTGTCTGGCTATCAGACTTAACAGTGACCTGGTGACGTTAATGTCTTTGAATGAGGATAGGAATGGGGTACCCCACATGACGAATGACGGTTAACTACATTTATTACAATACGAATATTAACTGGCTTATGGCGGGCGGAAGTGTTCTTTTTTGAAAATTTTATAAAGAATATTTACTGGCGAATGGCGGGCGGTAGTGTTTTATTTGAAAACTTGATTTTTTACAGGTGTTTGACACGAAACACATAATCTTACATAGAAATTAGGCCTGTATCGCTGAACTGATGTGTCTGTTGCAAAATTCTAAACTTTACACCTTTGCTGTATGTTGGACACGAGAAAATTTCTGGAACGTTGGATTCATATTATCCAGAAATTCAGCTCCGTTAATGTTGTGGGGTTCTCTGTTTATTTTCTTCCAATATTGGGTCATCGTTTCTCAGTTGGACATTTTATCATTCCTTTTGTATATTTTGCATCAAAGAAAAGGTAAGAATCAGTATATATGCAAATATTTCTAGCCGTCCGTGAAATTGGGTCTCTGTGGACCAGTGTAATAACCTGTCTGGCTGTCAGACTCAACAGTGACCTGGTGACGGCAAGGTCTTTGAATTAGGGTAGGAATGGGGTACCCCACATGACGATTCGAATGACGGTATCTACATTTATCACAAAACGAATATTTATTGGCTTATGGAGGGCGGAAGTGTTTTATTTAAAAACATAATTTGTTATTGGGGTTGACACGAAACACATAATCATACATTTAAATTAGGACTGTATCGCTGAACTGATTTTTTTGTTGCAAATTTTTTAACTTTACACCTTGTGACGGCATGGTCTTTAAATGATCTTCAATGCCTTTTCATATGTCTTAAGTCGGATTTAAATATTGAGAACTGGAACCTTACGTGAGGAGAAATTCTCACTATAGTAGGACATTTCCCAGACGAGGGGTCTGTATAAGCTAAACTTATATTTGCTTGAGAGCAACAAAAACAAGGGACCGGAGGATTTGACCCGAAGACAAAGGTACAGAGGTAGAACATGTAGGTATAAAGTTGAAATAAAGGGAGTTGCCATTTGATTTTTTTTTGGGGGGGGGGGGATTTGAAAAAGAATATCGTATCCACTGAATAAAATAAGCGTGCGTAGCAACAGCTGCAAATGAATAGTCAATCCGCAAAAAATCCTTGTGGCCCCCAAAAATATCAAATGGTCATCTTATTATTTGTCAATTTGTTAAACCTTGCTTAAATGAGGAGACTAGCAACTAATAGGTACAAAAATTACAATACAAATTTATTAGAGGCAGACATTGTTAGTGGTGTAACACAGAATTGGTCTGCAGGGGCTGTCGAGCCTGCCTAAGGCACCCAACAATGTGTTCAGGGCAGCACACTGGTACGGGATCAGGGAGGGTATGGGCTTTGGAAGCTCTGAGGATTAAGGAAATAAAAAAAAACATTTTGATGTCAAAATAATTTTTTCTCAACAGTTTCTCTGTTTTATTTTCTTTAGAATTGTATGTAAATTGAAAATGATAGAACAATTGTACCCTTTGTATGCGGTCGTAACGAGGATATGTTGACCTAAAAGAAGTATATCGACGGAGGATACTTCTTGAAGCTGATATACCCTCATATAGACTTGCTAAACGGTTTCTATTTTAAAAATAACTGTGCAAAATCGCTTTTCATTCTACCTTTGAAAATACAGTTGAACATGTGACTCTTTCTGAACAAATCAAATTGGTCAGAATAAACAAAATAATAATATGTGTGAAAGTTAAGAAAAGGATATTTGGTATACACAAGCAATAATGCAACCTATCGAAATACATGATAGAGTATGACGGAAATATTTTTGGACGAACGGACAAACCAAAAGACGGACAAAGTGAATGCAATATACCCCCACTCTAGGTATAATAAAAACTTATTTACATAATATTTCACCTTTTGTCTATGTCAGTGTATGTTTGACGTTCTTTTCGAAAATAAATCTTTCATTAGATAAGGTATTAAAAGCATGAAATGCAAGTAAACTTTTATTTTTGTATTGACAGACATGTACATGTCTGCTTCAGTGACTGCACTGTTCTATTTTGCCTGGCTCTGAAACTCCTAATGAGTTTAGATATAATGACTTAATTGTATCATAGTTGTTTTTTCTTAGATTAAGTAAAAATTGTTAAATAATTATTGTACATGACCAGTTAATTCATACGGGTATGCTCTTAGACTACTAAATTACATGTATAATTACCCCCCCCCCCCTTTTCTAATCTTTTTATAGTTAAAATTTACCAAGCAGGAAAAGGGAAATCATTAACATATTGCAATTTTGTCTGAATTAATTGAAGTTTAAAATTATTGTCTCTCATCATGTCTTCTTTTGAAAGTTCACCTATATTAGGATAGTTTGGAATGCATTTCACAGAACTTGCACTTTTTGTTGAATCTGATAAATTACTAGGCATAGTTTGAGTTTCTTCATGAGAACTGTCACGAGACTTGTATTATTAAAGTTCTTTGCATTGAGTTCAGTTCATTGTTATGCAAATGCATTCTTTGTGAAATTGAGATTCATAAACAGACAACCATATCTAGATATGAACAACTGTAAGGTAAGATCATTGAAATTGTCAGCACAAGGATTACTGACGCAGCATCCACATAACATAAGTAGTTAAAGGGAGATGAAAACATTTTATTTACATTTGTATCAAACATTTTGCATCCAGATATCCAAATAAAAAAGAAGCGCCATTGAAATATACCAAACATTGCTACCTGCAATATGATTTTTGGTGGTTTTGTAACACTTTTTTAACCATCTATACTGCCTACTGAAGAGTCCTGAGTGCCCAACTGGTCATTCATTCATACTTCCGTACTCCGTGTACTCCTTACAACAAAATTATTTTTATTCACCTGTGTACGTTATTTTGTTTAACGGCATTTTGTCCAAGGTTCTAGTTGTCTTTCTGATTTTGCTTTACATCTCACACTTTTTTTTTTTTATTAATTTTGTATTAACATTGTGTCATAGATCAAATTTATTCGTTCAGTGTATGTTTACTTGTTTTTGTTAATATGTCTTTTCATTGAGTTAAACCATTTCAATTGATATTTTATAGTATGTTGTGATGTTACACTATTATTTCAGGTTAGGGTGAAGGTTGGCGCCTGTTAAAACGTTTAAACCCGCTGCATTTGTTTGCATCTGTCCTAAGTCAGGAACCAGTTGTTCGGTGGGTGTCGTTTGTTTATGTGGTTCATAAGTGTTTCTCGTTTCTCGTTTTTTATATAGATTATTATACCGTTGGTTTTCCTGTTTGAATGGTTTTACACTAGTCATTTTTGGGGCCCTTTATAGCTTACTGTTCGGTGTGAGCCAAGGCTTCGTGTTGAAGGCCGCACTTTGACCTTTAATGGTCTACTTTTACAAATTGTGACTTTGATGGAAAGTTGTCTCATTGGCACTCTTACCACATCTTCTTATTTCTATATACATATGAACGAAACTCACA